TCAATGCACAAATTCTACCTGATTTTACTGCTTAATTCGAAAAGCATAGTGGTTATGTCCTTCAGAACATCAAATTACTAACTGACAAATATTGTTCAGTGCTCATGGCTATGGAATCCTCTGGAACTCGTTAGGATTTCACAGAGTTAGGCACGGAGTTCTTCGGAGCAGGAAATAGCCGATCTAGCTCTACATCTGCGCGCTCTTGTAAGTCAGCAAGTAGTTCTTTCTTTTCTGAAGGAACGCATTTATCATGGCCGAACCATGAGCAGCTGCCACCTGCAAAATATTCTCTCCTTTGTTTAATATACTATGTTCATGTACGTCATGAATCCTGTCCTGACTCTTTCGAAATTTCCTCAGGTGTCCAGCAAAGTCACCATCAGCTTACTAGTTTTTCGTTTCGCTGTGTGTTTCGCAATGCAATGTCTAAGCTCTCCCAGAATTTCGACTTCTCTTCTTTATTCTGGCCAGTCTGAGGAACGTAGGCACTTATTATATTTAGTGTACCACATTCTAAAGTCAGCTTAACGTCTGTCGTTAATTCGATTGAATTCGAATGCCCTTGATTCAATACTGCTCCAATTCTGTTTCTTGTTCTTGATTCCACAGTAAATAAGCTTATAGCCTAACCAAATCTCTTTCTACTTCTCGCCTCCTGAATGCAACCGATCTCAGCTTTTCCTTTTTGAGAAGCTTTCGCCAGCTTCATGCCCTTTCCCGACACTATTCCAATGCTACGAATGACTGTTCGCATTTTCTTGCTTCGTTTTTGGCATGTCAATATCTGTTTTTGCGATTGCTGTCGCCGCAAGAACTGCTTCCCTTTGCGTATTCCTCACCGCCACCAAGATTTTCTGTTTCGTATTGCTTGTTGGAAACGCCCTAAGATTATTTACAGTGGTTAGTTGATTCATCATATTTGGCTTTGGCATTGGGCTTTACTACCGGCTGCCAGCCCGACGCCAGACGAGCTTGGGACTGGCTACGGCTAGTTGGGATTGGTAGCACTGATTGAATGGGTGCGTGTACTCGTGATGTTACTGCGCTGTCATTGGTGGATATCGCGGTACTTCCTACAACCAACTTTACCAGAACTATCACTGTCGTTACGTTGCTGTTGGCGATTGCCTATTTGTCGCATTCTCCGCTGATTTTGCATCTAACCCTCACATTTGATGGCTGCACCACTCTTTGCTTTTCTACGCACTCGGCGGTATTCGACCTTGCCTCGACATTACTTTTTGATCGGTGATAGTATCCTCTATTCTTAATAATTCTGAGGCATTCACAACGTCTGAAAGAGGAACCAAGATCAAGGCATCAAAAAAATCAGGGGTTTGCACGCGTTGGAATTGAATGTGCACGACGTTGATACTCATGGTGGTGCCAGTGTCAGGAGCAAACGATGGTTAAGCTCCACGACAGACTTTACAACATTTCTGCAACATTCCGCCTTGCTCACGCGGGCTTAGGACCAGTGATGATGGAGCAACACATTTTGTAATACATTAGAAAATCCTATGACTTGTAAATCGGTTTGAAATTTTTACTGCAAACTGCCAAACAACAAAGACACCGTTCTAATCCTCAACATTTCTGAAAAACGCGATGAAGAACATAAAATGCGTTCAAGAAATACGTCTAACTTTATAAGTTTCAGTAATTCCGAATCTGCCGCCATTGGCTGACTGAAAAAGAGCTTTGCCAGCGGCATTAATCCAAGACAGCTTTCGTGGCATATCTATGAAGCGCGCGTAGGACTGTCGGACTGCCCCTTGTGGTGTCGACAACATACCAAACATGCGTCTGAACGCGTCTATCAAAGGAGCGCCATCTACTCCCTGAAATGGAAACATAACGTTTTCTAACATAAAAATTTTTGCACAAACGTACATTATATGCATTCATTATAATTGAATACGTCAGTTATTGCATAACTCCTCCAAAACCGCCACATTGCATATCTACTTTTTGTTGTTTGCAGTCGATAGAAGTGATTTAAGAAGGGCGATTATTTTCAGACACAGCACGACATCAATAAACGCATTTACATCCGCTGCTGTACTCCATTTGCATCCGCTGCTTTCCAGACAAATGTGGATTTGAACATTGTCTGAGGTGAATTCTGACCAACAGGTACCTACGTTCTGACAGTTCATTACAAATAAGTAGGATGTCAGACCATCTGCACCTCTTATTCCGTGTGATTTTTACGGTTCTAATTTGGAACCGATCCACCATCGTACTGAAGCAGTTCTAGTCACTGGGCAGTTTTTGAAAACTTCACTAACGTGCATAACGAAAGCTGGAAAGTTGATCAGAACAGTGGCTCTTTCTGACTGGCACTGTTTAAACGTTTTGAATTGCCTCCGCTTAAAAATATTTCTTCGATTAACATTCGCAAGAAATATGCACTACAGTGATGGCCAACAAAGATTTGCTGCTGTGGTGTTTTACAGCACTTTGAACTGGATCGCTGTTGCACAAACTTACTGCAATTATACTTTGACAACAGCGCCTAACGTTGAAAGCGAAACAGGCAATTGCCTCTTGCGAAATTTCATCTATGCTACGACACCAATAAAGGTGATGAGTAAAAACAGCGGACACTAACAGTGAATGATGGTCCAGTGAAGATTCGGTGATATACTGAATACATAGAGTTGTAGCTCATTTCAAATACATTTGAGAGTCTGATCCAGAAATTTGAAAGGCGTTACCTCGTAAAGAACCTTGTTCCAACTCTGTTAAGCAGAAGATGCCTTTTTGTTTAATTATGAGTAAAATAATATTTAGCATGCTGATATCTTTTTGATCAGTGCAGTCGACGAATTTGACTACCAAGTAATAATTAGATACGAAATTGTTTTCAGTTTTGAGCACTGCTAACGCGCTGGCGTTCTGTGATACTCTCCTATTTACTATGCCTTTGAATCTTTCATCTTTCCTTAAACTGTATCAGATAATATCTGAGTATCTTTAACCTAATGTTAGAGTGCCATACAAGCACCTGTCCCTGATTCGAAAAATCCATTTTTATGCTGATTTAAAAAGAAAGAATCATTAGCTACAACACGCATTTTTAATGGTATCGTAGCGATTTCCTCAAAGAAACGATATCGCTATGGAACAAATCATCTTGGAACAGAACTGTCAGAAATATTCGTAATGTACGAACTTGTGGATGCTTTATTCTACTGATCTAACGTTTCATGGTGAATCTGACTTTAATTAAAATATTTCGTTGTCTAAGACAAGTTTACTCCCCCGTTGCCGGTCTCGAACCCGGTTAAGAAAGGAGGAGGATTGGAGAACATGGCGAATTCTCCGCAACACTTAGCCACATGCTCTTCATGGCATTGACGTCATCGAAAATATCGTAACCTCTGCAGGTGGAAGCTGTTCTACTCAGGTGTCGAAATCACGACGCGCGCTTAGGCCGGTGTTGGTATTCTGGTAGAAGCCAACCACGCAGAATGAATCATTGATTGGAAGCCTGTCAGCGGAAGCGTGGTAATCCTCCGACTGAAGCTACAGCAGGCTAAAGCGTTGACCTTGGTACAGGTCTATGCACCCAATTTCGAGGGAGAATATGAAATCTTCCTTGAGGAAGTGCCGAATACAGAGTCCCTCATACCGATTGCCGATTTTAATGCGAATGTTGAAGTAGACGCTGAAAAGTTGGAAGGCGTGATTCGAAAGAACGGATTTTGCCATCTCAGCAAGGAAGTAATGAAGTTGCTCCGGTTTAGACTTCAACGGGCTGTCCATTATTAAAACCTTCTTGGAGAATCGAAATGTGTGTCATTATAAATCGTACAATGAAGCGTGTGCACCGAAGTAGAATATCCCTTTCAATAATCGTATCCTCTAACTTACATCACTCTACAAATGGATATTCACGGTGTAGAGGTTGTCAACTGATCACCGCCGTGTTGGTGGCATGCTACGCTGCAATAAATGGAGTACCGTACGTAGATCTGGTGGTAGAGGCAACCAGAGAATCAAGTTGGAAACGTCATTTTAGGTGGATACGAGAGCGAAACGAACGACGGTTTGAATAAATCCTGGTATGACCAGTGGTTTGGAATATCTCCCCTAGGGGGAGCTCTTTAAAATCGCCATACTCGAGGTGCCGTCGAATGCTGAGAATTTAAACAGGTTGTCCGGCAGTCAGGAAAGAACTTCTTGGTGGACACAAGATATACCACCGAAAGTTAAAGAGAAGAAAACAGCGTTCAAGAAATAGCCTGGAAACAAGGAGCCTTCTATTCGCTTACGATAGGTCGAAGAACACAAGGCGGCAGTAAAAGCAGTGGCGAAAGGCAAGGCTGATTCCTGGAGAAGTTCAATGATGTGTTAGAGTCGAATTTACGGACAGCAAAAAAAGTGTTCTGGCAGACCATCCGCCCTCTTACAGGTGAAAAGAACGGAAGTTTAGGAGTTCTGAACAACAGGTCTGGACACCCTCTTACGAAGGAGGAGGACATTATTCAGCAATGAAGAGGGTACTTTGAGCAACTACTTTACCCTTACCAACCGCAGGAAGAATCGCCGGTTGGTCTCGTCTCTAAGCAGCAGGGAACTGACATTACCATCTCTGTAGATTAAACTACACAAGCAGTGAAAGGCTTGAAATGGAATGGAATGGCAGCTGGATTCGACGACGTTCGCCCTGCAATACTCAACCAGTGGGCGAATAGGGCTTATGTTGTCTATCATATAACAATGGCCATGGGAAAGACACCAATGGACTGAAAAGCGGCAGTTGTTTTATCCATATTCATCACATGGGCCACATGGAGTCTTCCAACTGTCGGGGCATCATCTTACTGAACTTCCCGGGTAAAGTCTACGCAAAGGTACTAGAATGGAAGTATCGCGGAATAATTCACCCTTAGACATAGCAGGAGCAGTGTGACTTCAGATCTGGCTGACGCACTGACGACCAGATATTCGCCCTAAGACATATTGCCGAGAATTCATGAGGCTTTGTACTCTGGTTTACATGTGCTTTATTAAATTAGAGAAAGCTTATAACCGGATCCTCTGCAACACTCTATGGACATGCCAGTCCTGAACATTTGAAATCCATGGCCAGTTGCTACAGGTAAACGAATCACTCTAATCACTCTCGTGCTGCATCATAGTAAAAGGCTTTAAGTCTAAGCCTTTCAACGTTGGCACTGGTCTCCGCCAAGGCTGCGTCCTGACCCCTATCCTGTCTGTGTTGTACATGAACAGAATAGTCAGGAGCCGCCAAGGCGATGAGGGCATCAGTGCAGAAGATGTGAAGTAGAGAAGGTTGCTGTTTGTCTACGACCTTGTTTTATTAGAATTTTCTGAAACTGATCTTCAGTGCTCTCTAGAAAGGCTCGCAGCCGAATACGACGTGACCAGCATGCGCGTGAACGCATCTAAAACGAAAAGCCTGGTGCTTTCTCGTTCTCCTGCCCGTTGCTCTCTTCAGATTAACG